CATTCATTCGTGTAAGCTTGCCTTGTTTTTTTAATTGTTTTATTTTTTTACTTTTTTCGTGTTTCCAAACTTACTTTTTTTTTTTTTTTTTTTTGTTTGGCGGGGAAAAAAAATTTTAATTTTTTATTTTGTTTTTTTTTTTTTTTTCCAGTGTTCTCTCCTCTTCTCCTTGTTCTGGAAGAGTATTGTGGTATTAAAGAGAACTAAAGTCTTACTATTTGAGGTCCAAAAGAACCACCGACAATGAGCATCAGGCATCACATCGTCCTCTGCATATATGTAAACTGAGATTTCAGATACGTTTTTCTTTAAAGTACATGGGAGGGTCTCCACCCAGATTAAGAATCACTGAAATAACAGCACTACCTCCCCTTTTGTTTTAACAGCTTTATTGAAGCATAATTACATGCCATAAAATTTACCCATCATAAACGTCCAGTTCACTGGATTTAGCACAGAGCATTGTGCAGCCGTTACTGGTGAACATTTCCATCGTTCCAAAAAGAAACCTTGTACCCATTTATAGTTATAACCCACTGCCTCCTCCAGTCCTAGGCAACTACACAGCTGCTGTCTATCTCTATGGGCTGATCTTTACTAGGCATTTCATAGAAGTGGAATCATACAATATGTAGTATTTGCACATGGCTTATGGCTTCTTTCATTTAGTATAATGCTTTTGAGGTTTATATTGTCACACGTATTAGTAATTCATTCTTTTTCATTGCTGAGTAATATTCCATCATCTGGCTATATCACCATTCGTTTATGTGTTCGCCAGTCGACAAACATTTGTATTGTTTCCAGTTTGAGGCTATACACATAATGCTGCTATGGATATTGGCATACATGCCTCTGAGTGGACATGGTTTTCTTTCTCTTGGTTGGCTTCTCAAGAGTGGAATGTCTGGTAGAATGATAAGTTTATGTTTAACATTTTAAAGAAATTGCAAAAACAGGAGCACCTGGGTGGCTTAGTCTGTTAAGCGTCTGACTTTGGCTCAGGTCATGATCTCATGGTTCGTGAGTTCGAGCCCTGCGTCGGGCTCTGTGCTAATGGCTCAGAGCCTGGAGCCTGCTTCAGATTCTGTGTCTAATGTTTTTTAAACATTTTTTAAAAAATTAAAAAAAAAAAGAAATTGCCAAACCGTTCTCCAACATGGCTACTCCACAGCAATGAATGAAGGTTTCAGTTTCTCCGCATCCTTGCCAACATTTGGTATTTTCTATTTTTTAAAATTTTAGCTATTCTAGCAGGTTCATAGTAGCACCTCATTGTGGTCTTAATCTGCATTTTCCTGACAACTAGTGACGTTGAGCATCTTTTCATGTATCCATTAGCTGTCCATGCATCTTCTTTGGTGAAATGTCTATTAAAATATTTTGTCCACTTTAAAATTAGGCTGTTCATCTTCTAACTGAGTTGTAAGGTTTACTTTATTTTATTTATTTATTTATTTATTTAAAAAAAAATTTTTTTTTTTAACGTTTATTTATTTTTGGGACAGAGAGAGACAGAGCATGAACGGGGGAGGGGCAGAGAGAGAGGGAGACACAGAATCGGAAACAGGCTCCAGGCTCCGAGCCATCAGCCCAGAGCCCGACGCGGGGCTCGAACTCACGGACCGCGAGATCGTGACCTGGCTGAAGTCGGCCGCTTAACCGACTGCGCCACCCAGGCGCCCCTACTTTATTTTTTTTAATTAAAAACTTTGATAGGATTTTAATTTTGTAAATCCAATTTTAAAAGTAAGTGGTTGGATAAAATGGTTTATTCTCGTGGTATTTATACCTTTAAAGTCCTAAGGCCTTTAAAGTCCTTACTCCTGCACAGTATCCTGAGACTGGGAAGGCAGGCATACTTCATTTTTAGAAGAGGATATCCCTGCCCAGAGAAGAAAAGTGCAGGGTTCAGTTTTCAGTTTATGGGATGTAAAGCCAGAATCTGGAGTGTGACCCCACTAGAGACTGGGGAATTGAGTGGAAGCTTTTCCCTCTTCCCAGGGCCCAGTGTGGGACCTGGTATTGTCCCAAGGCTTGCCAGGAAGCAGCACTGATGTGGACCTTGGACCCAGGCCTTGGACCTATGTTTGGTAGAAGGGTGCGCTTGTTTGCTGGGTTGGAAGCCAGGTGCCCAGGTGCCCGGAGATGATGGTCAGAGGGTCCTGTTGGCTTTGGCTTGGCTTCTCAGCCTTTGGGCAGCTGAGTTTCACAGGTGGCTCTCCTGGCGGCAGGGCACTTTGTCTTTTCTCACTTCATAAAGATTTCCATCTAGGGCCTCCATTGTGGCAGCGCAGCTGTATCTCTTCACCCTTGGTGACCCTACGCTGCAGGAAGATCCACTCCCTGCACGTGGCTTCATGCGATGTGGGCTCTGGGCCTGCATCTGGGTAATCGCGGAGGTCCTTGGGCTGCAGAAGTGCAGAACTTCCCCCGGGAGACTGGAAACACTTCTTCCTCTCCTTGAGCAACAGACCTCTGCTGATTGCTACACCAGATGGGCAGTCCCAGACTCTCATCTGGATGACGGGCGAAATAAGCAGAATGCTTTCTCTTATCCTGCTGCAGAGAGAGTTACAGCTCTTGGAATACGGGAGGATTTTAGTTGAATATGAAAATGCTGCATGAACCGCTTTTCACTTGGGTTCTCACCGTTGTCCTCCTGGGAATGTTTGATTTCTCACTTTCCCTTTGTTGCCCTTAAGACTTCTAAAGTGAAGCCACCCGGTGTGGAGAGGCTGAGCACACCACACTAGGCTATTTAGACTGTGAACTCTGCATCCGGCAGGAGCAACCAAATGTGCATTGCAGCTGCCAAAAGACTTCATTCAGTGGCTCATTGAATTCAATGGAAAGAGGTGTTAATAGAGTCAGGGGAAGTGATGCCATTAAACAAAATGACATTGTGTGGTGCTGCTCTGTGTTTATTCTCCCTCAACGACTTCCAGATCAGACTTCCACAGTTTTGCATCAAAAGATGCCTGTTCAGGACTCCAGTGTGAGGCAAATAAGATGTCCAGCTAGTTAACTCCTCTCCCTCTGCTATATCTCATTCCCTGGAATGATTGTCACATAGTTGGGGATCGCCTTGGCCCCTGTCGGAGTGGGGTCTTGGTGTCAGCACAGGGGAATAATAGCAGGGTCAGGTGTCACACAACTGTCGGATTGCTGGCCTCAGCCTCCAGCCACGATTAGGGTCTCTATAGCTCTCCAGTCTTAAGATCCCAAGCGTGGGTTGTTGGTGCAAGAAAGGGATCAGAACTCTGTGTTCTTCCTCCCTCCTTGATAAGATGCAGGGAAGTCGGCCAAAGGTCTCGGGAGCTCCAAATGGTGGAGGGTTGTTATTATGGGTGATCTGACTGGCGTCGCAGAGGCTATCTGAGAACTTGCGTTCTCCATAGTTAATGAAATAGGTGAAGGGGATTAAGAGGTACCACCTTCTGGTTATGAAACAAATAAGATACGGGGATGTAACGTGCATAGGGAATATAGTCAATAATAGTGTAACAACTTGGTGTGGTGACAGTCACTAGCCTTACTGTAGGCCGTATGCTTGAAACGAATACAATACTGCATGTGAATTATTCTTCTGCTAAAATAAACAAACAAAACCGAAAGCTTAAAAATAAGAGCCATTGGCAAAACAAGCAAGCAAATAGAAATAAATGACTGATTGAATACAATGACAACAAAATAGTCGATGCTTGGAGAATAGAGTGTTCAGTTGTAGAAGATTTCTGGGGGATGGTGTAATCATCACACTGCCTGAGACCCTGGGGTTCTTCTTCCCCCACCCCCACCCAGGGAGAACACAGAGAAATCTCTCATCTTGCATTCTCAATGGGGGCAGAGATACCAAGCAGGTGAAAATGGATTGGGGGCGGCAGGAGGAGAAAGAACTCTTTGCTCTTTTTACATTGAAAGCACAGCTATACATACACCACATGAACAGAAACACAGTGTGCCTGTGTTATTGATAGTTCATTAGGTAGATGATTTAAAAAAAAAAAAAGAGAGAGAGAGAGAGAAGGTCTAGGTGGGCGATAATGAAAAGAAGTTGAGAGACACTGCCCGACACTAAGGTTGGGGATCTTGATGAAAAAAACTCAAGAGTCCTGAAAGGTGGGTAAAGTCTACACTCGCTCCTGACCCACAGAGGGTCTTGCCCCGCAGGGAGCTGCCAATATTGCTGGAATGATGTAGATTAGCGTTTTGTTACTGGGCACCTCCTGCTCCCATCATCTCTGGTACAAATTTCAGAACAAATCCAGGGTGCAGTTTCCCACATCCCCTTCCATTTTGTTTGCCCCCACCTCACTGGGAATTGGAGGGCATGATGTTCCACAGTTAAAAAAATGTTCTAAGGGTTCCTGATTCTCTTCACTTTGGCATCCTGGAGACAGGATGGGCCCTCCTGCCCTTCTCTTCCCTTTTAGGGGAGGCCAGAGAAATAGCCAGGTGTTCAAGAGGGAATAGCACCACGGTCTGGTGTTTTCCTGAAGCTCTTCAACGAGGGCCACTAGGTACTATGCTGGTACCGTTCATAAGAGGGCAGGACGGAACTGGGGACACCAGAATTTTATGCCACCAAGTATGCTAACCTTATCCTAACCTGCCTGGGCAAAACCCAGGGCTGCTGGGGAAGATGCCTGCCCCCCCCCTCAGTTTTCCTGCGGGGAGGACCAGGGCTGACAGAGTCATCATGCTGGTACATGCAGGTTAGTGAGGGAGGACCCTCCAAAGCCATGACAGTTGAGCTCCCTTTTGTCCTTCCCCTGGAATGGTGAACACACAGCTGGGTTTGTCTTACTCTTGGCGTGTCTCTGTGGTTCTTTTTTCCTTCCTGTTCTTGCTTTCTATCTTTCCTTTCTCTTTGGTCTCTTCACTGGGACTTGGCCGGGCCATGTGCAAACCCCAACCATTCAACAGTGCTGGAGAGTAGATAGTATTTACCTCAATAATGGTAGTCTCTTTTCGATTCTTTTTAACCCTCAATTCAGATGACGGGTCTAAGCCGACACCCACGATGGAGACTCAGCCAGTATTCGATGGAGATGGTAAGCTCTTTTATTACTTACGACTCTAATTCTCCCACCCGTGTTTAGATTTGAGGAACATCCTTTCTTTGGATGTTTGTGTAAGCTTTATTATTAGTTTTTTCTTTTTTAATTTCAATTTTTTCCCAGTTTAGTCTGGGTTGTTTTAACCTTTTAAAAAATGCAAATCCTCCCAGGAACTGGTACACTCTCTACTTCTGGAAAGGTCCTCTGTTCTAGCCAGGCTTCCTGCCTGGCTGCTGATGTCCAACAATAACACAGCCTGGATGGACCCTTTGAGCTGCCAAGACCAAGGAGCCATGGCTGAGAAAGACAGGCCAGCACTGTCCCTTCAGTAGATGAACCGACACTTACAAGTTCCTTCTCTGTGCCCAGCGTTGTGCTAGGCCTGTGGGGGACAACGGAGGATTAGATGAGATGAAGCCTTTGCTCTCAAGACAATGGCAACTATCAGAGAACTTTATGTGTTAAATTACACGGTCTCAGTTTTTATTATAATGGACATTTAAGGGAGAAAGAGATCACCATGGTCTGGGAAAAGACTGTGTCAAGAGATGGAACGTGGACTGGATCTTGAAAGGAGATGGGAAGAATCAGGGCATTGTAGTTGGGGTGGTGGGGAGGGGAGCATATGGTGGGGATGGGGTATTGTAGGAAAGTAGGGGGAAAGGGATTGGTTAGTGGACCTGGTTTAGCTAAGTTGGACCGTGAGAGCTGAGTCAAGACATTTGTAAGAGGAGAATTCTAGGGCAAGAGAAATAGTGTGGCTGGTAGCAAGATAGAGGCTGGATGTCCCTGGAGGTATGAGGAATGACAGGTGAGGTGTGGAGTGCAGAAGGCTGGCCTCTCTTTGAGCTTGGGTTGCTCCTGGCCTGCATTCTTCAGGATGCTTTGCTGTGTACTCCAAGTTCCCATGAAGAAGAGCAGGAAGCTTGGCAGAGTGCAATTTCTAGAAAGTCTGACAATGAGGTTTGACTCTGAGTGCAACATGCAGCGACCTCTGAGCAGCTTTCGGCTGAGTGTATCCAGGCCTAAATCACGATACTGGACAGGGAGACAGGAGTAAAAAGAAATTATGCCATTGGTTGGTACTGTGGCTAGGGATGTCTCTAGCACAGGCTCAGCTCTACATAGGATTGAATGTGAGCTGTCCTTTACAACTGGTCATTTAGTGGAACATATGTGTGTTCATGCCTAGAAATTCAGATGTTTCTGTGATCCACAAATCTCCTGGATTATTGGCAGGTCTGGGATCCTGGGGGATCAGGTGGGAGGTGGAGACCGTGTCACCTTGGGAGATCGCCCCAACAATCCCACTGAAGATTTCATGACTCTAAAGTTGATCAGGGTTCTCCTGATTCCCATACCACTTGTCCACTGAGGGACCCAAGCCCTGAAGGCCCTAGAGGTTCCCCCAAGCTCTCTGGATGGAGGGATTCAGCCTCTGTTCAGTGAGAATCCATTAGGAAAGGTATTGATGCACACGTTGGACTCATCACTTTCCTTCCCATGTGGAACAGAGTCTCAGCAAGCTGAAATCTGTTGTGGCTCAGCCGTTTCCTCCAAAATGGTCTCTGTGGTTTGTTTGGCATTCGTTTGTTGATTTATCCCCTTTAAATCTTCTTCCAGGGAAGCAGCTGAGAGAGACTTGGCTGGGCCCATGCTCCTCACCTCCTGGGATAATATTTTTATTCCTGGATGGAGCGGCTCAGCGCCTCTGGACTTAGACCACTCTGCCTCTGAGTATGGGAGGCCCTCGTTGGCTCCTGTGAGCTGGCGGGTAGAGGAGCTTCCTTACTGAGAAGGGAGAGGGCATTGGGACAAAGTGGATGTGGAATGAGGGAGAAAGCTCCAAGCCTTGATGCCCCAGGCTTCAGAAAAAGCTCCTGAAGTCTGGGGGCTGCACTACAAGTTATCTACTCCCTTTGCCCAGACTTTATTTTCTCCCTTCTTCTTCTTCTTCTTCTTCTTTTTTTTTTTTTTTTTTTCAGAAATTACGGCCCCCACTCTATGGATTAAGCACTTGGTAATCAAGGACTCCAAACTGAACAACACCAATGTAAGAAATTCAGGTAAATGATCTGCCTGGGATTGTATACATGCCGATTCGCCTGTGGTTGCCCTGTGGTTACTCCACAACTACCTGTTGTGTGGGCTTGGGCAAGTCCTTTAAACTGTCTTATCTTCAATTTCTACAGCTATAAAATGAGATTAGACGAGTTAATCCCCTCCAACTTTAATTTTCTTCAGTTAGTATGTCAGGGATCGTCTTTCATGAGTATTTGATCCTTTTAGCAAAAAACTCTTTTGACTACATGTTTTAATACTTTCAAGTGGCTCTTTATATGCCAGGCAGAGAATTTTTAAAAATGGCCTGGCATGGAAAAGTTGGACTTCAAGCCATAAGAGACTTGCTTCTGTGCGTTTTTTAAGGCTCAAAATGGCTGCTTACAGTCATGTATTTTCTGATATGATCTTTTGAGGGTCTTATGAGTGGTCAAGTTTTGGTGCTGGCTGAACCCCTTGTGGAAAGGTGATAATTTTTGAAGGGTGATTAGATTTGTAGGACTCACTTGTAGAGTTCATTGATCATCAATGAAGACAAAAGCAATAAAGTTCATCTACCATCAGTAAAGACCAGAAGTCCACCAACAGGAAAATGTATTAACAAACCCAATCTGTATCTCTATCATGGGGAAATCATCCTTCTTTTAGCCTAAGACCTCATTGTGAGAAATGCCCCTCTGCATAATTTATGCCTGGTTGGTGAATTTCATTTCAGCCATATCATTTTTTCCTTATGGATATCAAGGTCTATAAACAAAAGACACATCCCTTTGAACTGATGGGCAGAGTTTTACAAGACCATTAATTAATGAGTGGGCTCTCATTGGCCCCCTTTAGGTTTATCTGTATGCCAGCTTTGTCCTAAAGGTGGTAGTGGGAAACTTGAGTGCATGAAGTGAGTTAGCCCATGAGGTAGATCCGTACAGCATTGGTTGATTTTCTCTCTGACTTGGGCTACATGTGTTTGGTTCCCTTTTTTTTTTTTAATTTTTTTTTAATGTTTTATTTATTTTTGAGGGAGACAGAGACAGAATGCTAATGGGTTAGGGGCAGAGAGAGACGGAGATACAGAATCCGAAGCAGGCTCCAGGCCCTGAGCTGTAAGCACAGGTCATGACCTGAGCCGAAGTCGGACGCTCAACCTACTGAGCCACCCAGGCGCCCCTCTGGTTCCCTTTTTTATCAAAGATGGAGGTACGGGATGGTGGGGTGGGAAGAAGACCTTGTGAATCCTGTGGGCCAGAGTCTTTGACACAATCGTGCCATGGTTAAAGCATAGACGTTGGAATCGGCAAAACCTGCATTCGCTTCCTGGCTCCGACACTTAGTGAGTGACCCAGTCAAGGCACATAATCCCCCCCCCCCCCCAGCCTCAGTTCTCATCTGGGATTATGATCTTTCCCTCAGGGGACTGTGGTTAAAGGTTAGCTGAGTTACTGTCTGTGTGGAACTTAACCAATGCCTGGCTAAGTGATAGTAAGTGCAGGATAAACGGTAAGTACCTATCTTTGTTATTCTCATCATCATGGTAGGTAGGGAACAATGGAAATATTAATGATACTGCTTACCGCGAGAATCTCTCAATCAGGAAAGAATTTGTGACTGTCATTGTGAGCAAAAGCTTCTTTGCAGCACCTTTTCCCGCCTCCCCTCTTGCTGTCAGGCAAATATAAGTCAAAGAGAGGTGGTTTTGGTGCCTGTGGTACCTCACTGGAAGTGACAGAAAACAGTTTGCTGGCCTTTGGCATATGGGAATGAAATAGAAGCATTTGGATGCGAATGTGTGCCTGGGGGGTGTCTTTTTTGTGGTTTTTGGCCCCTCTCATAGACCAGGCAGAAGGAAGGGCCATGCCTCCTGAGATGTTTCCCAGCGTGCCCAGGGAAGCCTGACTCAGCCCAGGCCAGGTCTGTAGGTTTGTCCCATACCAAAGCCCATGCTGTTGCCATTACAAGGTTTACCACCTTCTACGTACAAATGAGCCCCTACCCTTGCCCACAAAAGTCAGACCTCTCATTTGTGAGAGTGTGCACTAGAACAGAATGTTAACGCTTGGCAAAGGTTCATGTTGGGGGGTGGGGGGTGCTGGGCAGGGCTACGTAAGCTGCCCAGAGCTCCTGGGCTGAGTCAGGCTTCCCTGGGCATGTTGGGAAACATCTCAGGAGGCATGGCCCTTCCTTCTGCCTGGTCTATGCGAGGGGCCAAAAACCACAAAAAAGACACCCCCCAGGCACACATTCCCATCCAAATGCTTCTATTTCATTCCTATATGCCAAAGGCCAGCAAACCGCTTCCTGTAAAGGGTCAGCCAGATAGTAAACATTTTAGGTTTTGCAGGCCAGACAGTCTGTCACCTATTCAACTCTACTGTCGCAGCACAAAAACGGCCATAGACAATATGTAAAGACATAGGATAGCACAGACCTGGCTTCCAGTGCTAGCTTCCCGTGAGAGCTAAGTGACCTCGAGAAAGTTCGTACGTGAAACAAAGTTATTAGCGCCTTGCAGGGTTTTTCTGAGGATTCAACAATATATGAAATGCCTAACGCATAGTAGGTGTGTCATAAACAATTTTAAAAATAACGGCTTCTCTGCTAGCCACCGGTCACGCTATTCCATTTGGTTTGTTGAGAAGTCAGATCTACCTTAATGATAACTCATGTCTGGGGTGCTGGCTCTGCTATGGACTGGAGCCTCTGGGTCAAGCCCCCGAGGCAGGTTTCCCGACAGAGTTTGCCAGAAGATTCTGGGTTAGGTGAGCTTCAGCCCCCACCTCTGGGGAGGGTGAAGTGGGCCTCAGAAGCCAGTCTAGGTGAGAGCTCTTCCCACTCGCTCTCGGAGGCAAGAAGGCCATCCCAGTTCCCTCTACACCCCAAACATCCGTCTTTCACACTCAGACCCTGTGACGCCAGGTTTGTTTTCTGGCCTGGGGACTGTTGATGTTGGAAAGGTTCCACGGGGCAGCTGAAGCTTTGCAATAACATGACGCATACGCCTGCAGACTTATCCTGTCTCCTTCTCTCCTCCTGGAGGTGTCGATCCGTGTTTTTAAGGCTTTGTCTTGTGTTCACCATGGTCAGTGTCGCCTGTTGAGTACTTGGCAGCCTCGGCGTTGACGGGTTTGCCTCTTCAGACTTCTCTCTCGGATCCTTGTCTCCGCTGCACCAGGAGCTCTCCCACTTTCAGGAGGACGACGTACCTGGCCAGCCGACGCCCTAGAACCTGAGAGCAGGTGTCTTCCCACATATGAGTGTTGGCCAGAGACTCTGTTCTGCTTTTGTAAGAAAATATGAACTCTTGCGGAGTTTTTGGTATCAGAGGCTAGCTACTAAGGCATTTCTTGATATAACTAGAACTTAAAAGTCTTTTTAGTCATCTGCATTTTTATAGGAAAGAGCGGAGAGATTAACGAAATGACGAAAACTAGGCTGTCTCATTCTCCGTCCCATACGCCATATCCCACGGCTTCTAATTTTACTGGGTGCAGACACTGTCGTACAGCTGTGATTTACAAAAGTCTCTCTCCCTCTTGATTTCCACCCCCCACCCCCACCCCCACCCCCCAGTATGACAAAATTCTGTGCTTTCTGGCCTGGGAAAATACTCTCAGGACGTATGGTCGTGTGAGCCTTAACTCTTCTCTTGGAGCAGCATAGCAATGCCCTCAAGGCACATAGGCCCTTTCCCTCTGCCCCTACGTGGCTAGCTCTCGGGGCCACTGGTGGAGTCATTTGACTTCCCTTCTTCCTTGTCCATCTGTTTCTTTCCTTTATTGCCACCTTTCCTAGTTAACTTCTTTCACGATCTCATCTGGGATTTCAGGAAGGCCCTAGAACCTGGCACTGTGGGTGAAATCCAGAAGGACTCCTTTTCCTCCCTTGCCTCTTTGTCCTGCACAGCTTCCTTCCGGGTGTCCCCGAAGGCAGCGTCTTGTGGAAACTCTGTCTCCGGGAGACAGAGCTGTCAGCAGGGACACAGGGTGGAAATGGCGTTTCTTGTAAGTTTTGTCATGAAAACGACCCCGTCTCCTCCTACGTGGGAGCGTTTGCCTAACTCACCATCCATGTCGCAGGTAAGGGGTTTGCAGCCCCCTGACCCTTACCTGCCGGTGTCAGTGTCAGAGCGTTGCTCCTCTGGGCCTGCTGTGGTCCCCTTGGCTGCATTTGGGATTGCTCCTTCCTCGCCAGGAAGCTCCTGCCGGGACAGCTGCTGTGACTGGGATGTGGGGTCACTGAGGCAATTGCACCTCCCGGCCGGATCCCCCACCTCCCCAAACCAGCACTCTTGGCCTGCCCAGAAACCGCGGGGTGATGTAATGACCTGAGGCCTGGAAAAATAAACAGCTCTCAGGGAAACCAGCGGTAGCCGTTGTGAGCAAATACCCCACAGCCACCTGGAACCTTGCACATGACGTGATTGGAAGGAAGAATGAGTAATCCGCTAACGTTAGCAGCCGAGGACGGGTCTGGGCTTGTGAGCATTTAAAGTATCTATATAAAAACAAACCCTTGATGTTTATTTCTATAACTGGCCTCCTGGATGTCTGCCCATTTATCTTCTGCAGGTGTCTTAGCCACTCACGGCCAGTAGAAGGGAGCTGGGGACAGGGAAGGGTGGTCATCCCTATGGCTCTCTCCATAGCAACAAAGGCCTTTCTCAAGCTTTCCCTTTGCAGAGAGGAGCCATAAACACGTTTGCAGGCCCTAGAGAGCCCAGCCCCACAGTATATTACTGCCCTGTTTTCAAATTAGCTTTCCCTGTCTTGTTCCCTCACCTCCCGCATCTGCTTCAGACAGAGGGGTGCTGGGCGGAAGTATGACCAGCATCTATCTGGGACTTGCTCGAACAGCAAAGGTTTTTTTCTGTAGGTGAGTCTGTATGCTTTTTGGTGTTGATAGCAAAACCATGCGCCCCAGCGTTTTCCTTTTGGCCTCTGCTGCTGAAAACCTGAACCCAGAGGTCCTGCTGAGGTATTGTAATTGGCTCCTTCCAGGTTACTAGAAGTCA